CAGATATAGGGAGACATACAAAATGTGCAGTGCTGGGGGTACTTCATGGAGAGGTTTGAGAACCACTGCAATTTGTGATAAGTGATTTCGGTAACCTCTAATACTGTTGTGTCAGATTTGGTAACCCAGCTGTATATCTGAAGCTTTTCACATAAGACCAAAATCACCAGAAATAATTTGGTAATTGTATGAAATAGAGGGGAGTAAAAGTTTTCGGTAACGTATTATGACGTGTTATCAGATTCAGTGACCCTGCTGTAAATCTGGAGCTGTTCACATCAGGCAAAAATGCTTTCTAAAATATAAAATTCAGGAGGTTAGACATCACTCCTTACTGCTCTTGCTCATCCTCTTCCTCCTTCTCCTCCTCTCTGGTGTCCTCGACCTTTTCAATGACATCTCTCTGGATCCATTGTTCCAAAACTGAATGAACTGACTTGGGCTCTTTTATCTATCTATTGAAGGTTCTGATTGGTGTGTGATCAATTTTGACTCTTAGTGTTTCCACGTGGGTAACTGTGTGCTAATTGAGCTCAAGCTATGCTGACTTGAGTGAACAATATTGAATGCTAGTGCTTTCTAAATGACAACATGGCCTAGGCAATGAGAAATGAAGGGATTTGTGTGTAGAGTTTTGCAGTGACAGTTCAACAAATCTGATTCATGTGTCAAAAAGGGGAATAGTGTTTATAGTTTAGGGAAATGGGTGTGCTTTTTGATAAATGGCGTTATGGTTTTGAAATTTTAGTTCAAAAGCCTGGTGATGGTGTTTAAGCAATCGAGAAAAACTGTAAAGCCATTGTGTGTAAAACAGAGGGTGTAAAACAGATTTTGGTAACTTCTAATGTTGTTTTTCTTTCTTTCTTGGATTTGGTGACCCTGCTGTATGTGTGAAGATATTCACATTAGAGGATAATGCTTTATAGGATATAAAACATGGGAGGTTAGACATCACCAGAACGAATTTTGGTGACATTAAAGCCATTATGTGTGAAAGGGAGGGGGTAACAGATTTCGGTAACCTCTAAGATGTGTTGTCAGATTCAGTGACCCTGCTGTATATCTGAAGCTGTTCACAACAGACAATATACAGTAGGTTAGACATCAGCAGAGTGATTCTGGGTAACATTAATGCCATTATGTGTGAAATATGGGGGAATATGGATATTGTTCACTCATTATGGTCTTTTATGCTGTGTTGTCAGATTCGGTGCTATATAACCCTGCTTAAAGCCTACTATAAAAAAATACAGGAGATTAGACAGCAACAGAATGAATTTGGGTAAAATGAATGCCATTCTGTGTAAAAGAAAGGGGAGTAATGGATTTTGGTTCACAGACAGTCTGCATAAAATTTAATAAATATTTAATAATAATAATAATTATAGTAATTATATATATATATATATATATATATATATGTATGTTCAAGAGCTAAAATTCCCGTTTTCCTGTTTCCAAACATTACAGTTTACAAAGAGTACACTGTAAAGCTAATAGTAAAGTAAATGGGATGTCAGCAAAGAAAGTTGAGTGATGTCAAATATACTATAGAACTGAGGCATTGTTAACAGACTGTGTACAAGCATTGTCACGTTGATTCCTGTTTCTCTCTGTTCCAGAGGGATGCAAAAGCTCAATGGCTGTTTGAGCAGGTCTGTCAGCATCTAAACCTGCTGGAGAAAGACTATTTTGGCATCAGATTTGTGGACCCAGACAAGCAACGGGTGAGTTCCTAGTATAGATATATTATGAGTTGTTAGTAGTGTACAACACTTGTGGATTATTCAGCTGACAAAGCATTGAAAAAAAAAAAAAAAAAAAAAAAAGAGAAAGAAAAGAAAACCGCAGCGGAAAAAAAAAAAAAAAAAAATATATATATATATATACATATTCTAGCTCTGACCTAATTAACCATTCCTGATGAATGTATCAATGTTAATGTTTGTGCATGAGCTTGAAGCAGGACACCCAATGATCACATGCATATTCAGATGAAGAGCTGCAAAGTGTGACGCAATAGATATGTAATGTGGTGAACAGTCATCAGTTGACAAATTCTGGTCATAACAATGTGTTAAACTAGAATCTCTATCTGCATTATAGACATAATTTATTTTTGATTCTGTTGTTTCAGCATTGGCTGGAGTTTAGCAAGGCAATTACCAAACAAATGAGATGTAAGTCAGATTGTATGTGGAAAGTCCCAGCTTCATCCTTCTTATACATGCTGTGAAAAGAATAATCTTTGCATTCATATCCCTCATTGACATCCCTCGTACATGTCAAAAGGTTATACTGACTGCTTAATTATATCTACGTGAATGTTTTATGTCCTAGCCCAGCCACCCTACACTATGTGTTTGCGTGTTAAATTCTATCCTCCAGACCCTGCAACTCTTAAAGAAGAGATCACTAGGTACGACTCATTACGTAGTCTATTTTTGTTCAAAATGTATATATTTAGTTGAGCAATATATTCATTACGTTGTCTGTGAAGAAAGAACTATATGGAATTATATTACACAAGTTACAGAGACTTGTACAATTCTCTGATGTACGTATGATCAGCACAGTGACAGTTTAATACGTCCTCTGTGTTGTTTTCAGATACCTGGTCTTCCTACAGATTAAAAGAGATTTGTATCACGGCCGACTCCTGTGCAAAAGTTCAGATGCTGCTACGTTGGCCGCATTTATTCTGCAGGGTAACAGCAAATAACAGTCACAGAAGCCATTTTTTAAAGTATTTGTTGAGTTATGGCTTTGATGTATATGAATGTCGTTACTGTAAGACAAGATGGCACTGGTTTTGTTTCATTCTCCCTCATATTATTTTAGCTGAGATTGGAGATTATGACCCGGGGAAGCATCCGGAAGGTTACAGCTCTAAGTTTCAGTTTTTTCCCAAGCATTCTGAGCGCCTGGAGCGCCGCATTGCTGAGATCCACAAATCCGAGCTGACGTAAGCTTACATTCAATTGACCTGTCACATGCAGTATGTCACTCTTTTTAAAGGGACACTGGGTTTGTAATGGAGAGATTAAATGTAATTCATGAAATTTATCTCCCAGAACAGATGCAGCAAATTAACAAGTCTGTTCATTTCCTACAGAGGCCAGAGTCCTGAGACAGCTGAGCTGAATTTCTTAAGGAAAGCTCAGACTCTTGAAACATATGGGGTTGATCCACACCCAAGCAAGGTCAGTAGCAAAACTTATCAGCTGCCCATATCCAGGAAATCATTTCAAAGTACAACAGAAGTTTCCTAACTGAAAGTAGTCTGTTAATGTCTACATTCATAAAGAAGTGAAAACATACAGTAATGTTTTTTTTTTTTTGATCATAGGATGTGTCTGGCAATGCAGCATTTCTTTCATTTACCCCATTTGGCTTTGTGGTACTACAGGGGAACAGGAGGATTCATTTCCTCAAATGGTGAGAGAGGGGAAATTAATCTCTCATATCATTTTCATTTGCTTAGCAGTCAAGATCCAATGACTGTGTGTTTATGAATAACTATAACAGTGTTTTGTCATATTGTACAGGAATGAGGTGACCAAACTGAAGTTTGAAGGAAACACATTTCATATATATGCAACTCATCAAGAGGTAGGTGAAATCAAGGCAGCCCCATGTAATGCAGAAGAACAAATAGTCAAAAGTAAATAACACTTACTGACCCCCTGTGACCTTTACTAAGGATCAGAAGATCATCTTGACTTACTTTACTCCAACACCTGAGGCCTGCAAGCATCTATGGAAGTGTGGGGTGGAAAACCAAGCTTTCTACCAGTAAGTTCACATGATTTGACATATCAGGTTAAAATTAAGCTCAAACATTCACATAAACTTCTTACATATGCTTATTAGTTAACACCAGTGGTCCTCAGGGAGTTGCATAAACAAAGCCACTGTTAAGACTGTGTCTTAAGAACTAGTTTGGCCAACTATCAATTAACCAAGTGGTAATCAGTCTTACTTTATGGATTTAAAATAGAACAATCTACTTTTCTTTTTCTTTTTTATTTTTGTAACTGACTTTTGTAACTGGCTTCAACAAACTTACAAGCGGGCTACAGTGTTACTTAAAGTTCAGTATATTATTTTAGCTGAGATTGGAGATTATGACCCGGGGAAGCATCCGGAAGGTTACAGCTCTAAGTTTCAGTTTTTTCCCAAGCATTCTGAGCGCCTGGAGCGCCGCATTGCTGAGATCCACAAATCCGAGCTGACGTAAGCTTACATTCAATTGACCTGTCACATGCAGTATGTCACTCTTTTTAAAGGGACACTGGGTTTGTAATGGAGAGATTAAATGTAATTCATGAAATTTATCTCCCAGAACAGATGCAGCAAATTAACAAGTCTGTTCATTTCCTACAGAGGCCAGAGTCCTGAGACAGCTGAGCTGAATTTCTTAAGGAAAGCTCAGACTCTTGAAACATATGGGGTTGATCCACACCCAAGCAAGGTCAGTAGCAAAACTTATCAGCTGCCCATATCCAGGAAATCATTTCAAAGTACAACAGAAGTTTCCTAACTGAAAGTAGTCTGTTAATGTCTACATTCATAAAGAAGTGAAAACATACAGTAATGTTTTTTTTTTTTTGATCATAGGATGTGTCTGGCAATGCAGCATTTCTTTCATTTACCCCATTTGGCTTTGTGGTACTACAGGGGAACAGGAGGATTCATTTCCTCAAATGGTGAGAGAGGGGAAATTAATCTCTCATATCATTTTCATTTGCTTAGCAGTCAAGATCCAATGACTGTGTGTTTATGAATAACTATAACAGTGTTTTGTCATATTGTACAGGAATGAGGTGACCAAACTGAAGTTTGAAGGAAACACATTTCATATATATGCAACTCATCAAGAGGTAGGTGAAATCAAGGCAGCCCCATGTAATGCAGAAGAACAAATAGTCAAAAGTAAATAACACTTACTGACCCCCTGTGACCTTTACTAAGGATCAGAAGATCATCTTGACTTACTTTACTCCAACACCTGAGGCCTGCAAGCATCTATGGAAGTGTGGGGTGGAAAACCAAGCTTTCTACCAGTAAGTTCACATGACCTTCTTGACATATCAGGCTGAAACTAAGCTCAAACACGGACATAAACTTCTTACATATGTGCATTAGATAAGACCAGTGGTTCTCAGCCAGTTGCATAAACAAATTCACTGTTAAAACTGTCTTAAGAACTAGTTTGGCCAACTATCAATTAACCAAGTGGTAATCAGTCTTACTTTATGGATTTAAAATAGAACAATCTACTTTTCTTTTTCTTTTTTATTTTTGTAACTGACTTTTGTAACTGGCTTCAACAAACTTACAAGCGGGCTACAGTGTTACTTAAAGTTCAGTATATTAAAGGGGTCATATGATGCTGTTAAAAAACATTATTTTGTGTATTTGGTGTAATGAAATGTGTTTATGCGGTTTAAGGTTAAAAAAACACATTATTTTCCACATACTGTACATTATTGTTTCTCCTCTATGCCCCGCCTTTCTGAAACGCGTCGATTTTTTCAAAGCTCATCGGTCTGAAAAAGCGAGGTGTGCTGTGATTGACCAGCTATCCAGTGTGTTATGATTGGCCGAATACCTCAAGCGTGTGACGGAAATGTTACGCCCCTTACCATATTGTGATGATGCCCTGTCAGGCCGGAGCGATGATTCAAAAACAGGAAAACCCATTATAAATGAGGCATTCGTTGCATCCAGTGGGGACATAATTATGGATTATAATGACTTATACTGTCTTTTTACGCGTTGCGTTGCATCGCGCCGCGTAAACATAAAACCATGTCTGCATTTGTGATCGGAGAAATGACAAACAACAAGCCCTACTCTACACTGCCCAAAAAACTCGCTTTAAATATATAAAATATACAAACTCTTTAAATATAAAAAAACGTACTTACAGTCTTCTATTTTTGGAAGGCCAAACAAAGTAGTTTCGCTTTCACAACGAAACACACAGCACCTGCACGACATGGTGGCCGCAACAATACTACAGCGAGAATAAAAGTTACGCCTTCTTTCTTTGCGTTTACGCCTTCTTTCTTTGTGTGAACATTTGGGCGGCGTTATGCAAATCTTCCCACATCGTGACGTAGACATGTGGGGGCGTGTTAGAATGAGCTGTTTTAGGTAGGCGTGGCTGACTCTTAATTTTTATAAAGAATATCTTTTTGGATTTGAGACTTTAGTCTTTGCAACTTTACAGATCTTCTTTATGCACCAAGAGCTTGTAACACTCCAAAGAGAAAGGATAAATGTAAATCGCATCATATGACCCCTTTAAAAAAACATTTAACTAGGTTGCTGCTGGAAGAGGTGTTAGTGAGGCCAGCAGGGGGTGCTCACCCTGTGGTCTGTGTGGGTCCTAACGCCCCAGTGTAGTGACGGGGACACTATACTGTAAAAAAGCACCGTCTTTCGGATGAGATGTTAAAACCGAGGTCCTGACTCTCTGTGGTCATTAAAAATCCCAGGATGTCCTTCGAAAAAGAGTAGGGGTGTAACCTCGGCATCCTGGCCTTTCGCCCATTGGCCTCTGACCATCATGGCCTCCTAACCATCCCCATATCTGCTGATTGGCTTCATCTCTCTGTCTCCTCTCCACCAGTAAGCTGGTGTGTGGTGGGCGTTCTGGCACAATATGGCTGCCGTCGCATCATCCAGGTGGATGCTGCACACTGGTGGTGGTTGAGGAGATTCCCCCCTTTTATGTAAAGCGCTTTGAGTGCCCAGAAAAGCACTATATAAATGTAAGGAACTCAAAACACAAACAAATCAAGATTTTCATTTTTTTCAAAAACTATATTTTTTTATAGAAGAACATTACAAATCAGAATTTTGAATCTTCAAGAATCACAGAATGAATTGTGGTTAATTATTTTAATACATCAACACTCCCAATTTGTGTTAATAAAAATAGTCATTTAAACGGACACATTTATTTATTTCTGTCTCTCGTTTTCTTTATTTCTTTCAGGTTTGAGAAATCAAGTCAAGTTCGCACTGTATCCAGTAGTAATCTTTTCTTCAAAGGGAGCCGCTTTAGATATAGGTGAATATTATCTGCTCTGGTGGTTATTAGGTGAACCCCATGGGTTCGTCAACTGTGCTCAATTAGGCCTGTGTTTTGAATATATGCTAATTAATGGATTAGCTGGAAGGGTCGCTCATATTTTGGTTACATAATTTATCTTAAAGTGGTAAAGTGGCCAAGGAAGTGATGGAACAGAGTGCCAAAATCAGACGAGAGCCTCCAGAGATCCACAGGTGAGTCTTCTCAATGCTGTCTTGTTTAAATATACCTGACAGTATGTCAATTGATTTATCACATCTTTTTGTATGTTCAGGGCTGGGATGGTCCCCAGTAGGAGTTGTCCCTCCATCACTCATGGCCCACGACAGAGTAGCGTTCCCCGAACACGAAGGAGAGCAGTCCATATTTCCATCATGGAGGGTAAGGCAATGTATAAAGGCATTGTATAAAGGCCTATAAGCACAGACACACATTTGTTATATTGATATTGATATTGGACCCCTAACCCTAACCCTAAACATATCCACCATAGAAAGTAGCTCTAAACAGTTTTAAATATAAACATGATTGGGCTGATTTATACGCATTTTTATCATTTGAGGTCTGTTCAACTGGTTTCACTATATTACTGAGGACATTTTTTAATAGTGAGGATTGTTGGACCTCACAAGTATAATCAAACCTGTGCACACACAGGCACACCAACTTTAGCATATACTGCCCCTTTTTAAGAACAAAAACTGAAATGGAATTGAGGTAGCAAGCAGATTTGTCACTAGAAAAATAAAGTTAGTGCACGGTCTTCAGAATTCAATGCAACTCAAGGCAAGATAGGTTGGTCCATAAGCACTGAAATGCTGCCATCTGGTGGTATAAAGTTATTTTTCCTATCATGGGGTGACTAAATAATAAAAGCACCCTGGAGATTTTTGGTTTGGTTTAATTTCCCCCTTGGATTCATTACTGTGTCCTTACTGGTCCATAACGTACAGTAGGTTTTTAATGTCCCACCCTTGTTGCCAATATTTTAATAAACATTATAAGTAAATATAAATACTTTTCTTTTTTCATTACAATTCAAAATTCAGCTGTAAAATTACAATTCAGGGTGCAGTGTTTTTTTTTTTTTTTAAACATCTCATTCAACTTAAACAACACACAAATAGGTAAAAACCCACATACGCTACTGTTCAAAAGTTTGGGGTTGGTTAGATTTCTTAATGTTTTTGAAAGAAGTCTGTTATGTTCACCAGGACTGCATTTATTGGAAAAAAAAAAGAACAGCAAAACTGTAATATTGTGAAATTGTATTATTATTGTTGCAATTTAATATTTAATATTATTACAATTTTAAAATAACTTAAAAGATATATATTTAATATATCTTCAAATGCAATTTATTCCTGTGATACAAAGCTGAATTTTCAGCAGTCATTACTCCAGTCTTCAGTGTCACATGATCCTTCAGAAATCATTCTAATATGCTGACCTGGTGCTCAAGAAAATTTCTTATAAATGCTGAGAACAGTGCTGTTTAATATTTTTAGTAGAAATAATTTTTTGTTCCAATTTAATGAACCGACCCCAAAGATCATACTTAACAAAAGAGTGCTCTTGACCGGGATAGGAATACACTACACTCCATCTCTTTCTACTGCTCTATGTAACATGAGAGCCGCTCTCATTGTGCACAATGTGACCAGACGTACACTTGTTCCAGTCACTTTACTGACACTGCCAAATACCATCATGGTTGTGTTTGTATGTGTGTGAGGGTACTGTATAAGTGTGCTATATATTTTGAGTTTAAGGTTAGTTTTGTTCTAGTGCCTGATCTGTACAGAAAGTCCAGTTCTAAAGTACAGCAGACACAATGTGCTTGCAAAAACATGTACCAGTATATTTAAAAGCATTTACTATACTAAAGTACAGTAAATGTAAATGCTAAAAGAAAAGGCTTCACATGCCCTACATGTGGACTGACAATTTGTGTCATACACAAGTAAATACAGAGACAATGAGGACTGACAAACTTGTCCAACTATAAGGATAAACAGTGCTATAATTACAGCATCTATAAACAGAGAGCCTGTCCATGTATGTCATGTGGTTTGTATCAGAATGAATGTGTGTTGTGTATGTGCTCCTTTGTTACAGCCTATAATGGGTTTGAGGGGGTTGGAACATGCAGAGCAGCTGGACTTTTGGGCATAAGGGAACTTATGGAGCTTTAAGGCTTTAGGGTGTTCTCGCTTTCTCACACTCACTTTTATAAACACACACACAACATTGTGTTATGTCATTTTTGTTCAGGAGGATAGAGGGAGGAAAAGGGTCTAGCGGTGATACATTTACACAGGGCTGAGATCATCACACACGTTAGCAGCTATATTCTGAAACCATGGTGAAGTGTCTCATACGGATTAAGACAAAGGTGAACGTTCATCTGCGGATGATCAACTACTGTTACCGGGATGTGAAGGTACGGGTGTTGACGATGGGACCTAGACTATTAGGGAAAGCTCTAGGGGCTCTGCCTCTCTTCCCGTCTTTGCCCAGCTCCTCCACTTCCTCTGGAGCTTCATCTAGACTTGGTGTTCAACCCACCAGCACTGCAGGTAAAGTTCCTTGTCGTTTGGAACAGCTGGATGTTCAACTTATTTTAGTGTGACTGCATTTGAATGTGCACAGCATATATAGCGGATTAGAGTGCGACCATTGTTAGCATGGTGTGTAGCTTTTATGGATTGTGGGTGGAGCTATGTTTTCTTGTGGTTAATTAGATCTATATATGCACTTATAATACTTACATCATAGTGCATTTTATCAATACACATACATTTGTACCAGCTGAATAAATGTAAATTATGCAATTGTGAATTATAATGGAATATCACTTAAAAGTAAACTAGCATGAAATTACTTACATTAAACATGGATTTTTTATTCTCCCTTTTCTGATAACATTTTATTTTCTTTTGTTATTTCATAAGTTAAAAATGGAAGAAGTAAAACTGAAATTTGCTTGTGACTAAACATTAATATACAATGTGTCTGATGTCACAAGTCTTACTGTTATTGAATACATGAGGACTCACTGTGACAATGTTTAACCAATTTGTTAGAATTTGTTATTTATTTCTTTTTTCAGCTATATTTGGTTGAGACATTTAACTCGGGCTTATGAAATCAGTATAATATATTAGGGTTGGGCAAAGTTCTGAATTTAATAATTGGTTCCCTTTTAATTCATTAGTTAGAATTTGAAATGAACTGGCCACACCACATATTGGAAGTTGAATTGGTATTTAAAGGAAGAGTAGTATACTGAATTACAGTTCAGAGAAATTTAACCGATTATGGCATTCTGGGATATTGAAAGTGTTCCTCCATCCTGTCAATATCATATGCTCACCAAGGCTGCATTTATTTGATCAAAAATCCAGTAATATTGTGAAAAATTATTACTATTCAAAAGAACTGTTTTCTATTTTAGTATATTTTAAAATGTACTAAAGTGTCACATGATTCTTTAGAAATCATTGTAATATGCTGATTTGTTGCTGAAAAATAAATAAATAAATAAAAACTTTTACATCTTTGTTGAAACCGTGATGTATTTTCAGGATTTATCGAAGAACTGAAAGTTCAAAAGAAATTCTGAATGGCACACAAACCTGAAAGCACATCAACATAATGCATGAAACACAATCACTGAACATCCCCACTCTATTTCAGGTCTGGAGTCCTTGCGTGACAGTGGCCATTCCACGCCAGAGCGATCGGTCTCCAATGGCAACTCATTTCTACACTCCCATGGAAATAGAGCCGAGGGAGACAGAACAGCTGAATTTTCCGAGGACTCTTACAGTCCCTCTGACAGCGTGCTTCCCACACCAGTGTCCAACGACCCCTCAGACCAGGCTCAGGTTCGCCACACAAACGGCCCCCGCAGCAATCAAGAGGAAGGAGGAACAGAACTGTGTACTCAAAACCAGGCAAGGCCACAGGGCGTTAAACCCAAAGGGAAACGCTCTCAACTGGAGAAGTCTCGGCCAACCCAACATGGCCCAGAGGAAAGGGTGAATGAGTTCATCTGTAGTTTGGCACGTCTTTTCTTAGTGACCCTGTCTCTACTATTTGCCCTCCTTCTACTTCTTATTGTGCTAACAGAGTCTGAGCTGGACTTGGCCTTTCTTAGGGACATCCGGAGAACACCCGAATTCCAGCAGTTCCACTATGAATACTTCTGCCCCCTTAGGCGCTGGCTGGCCTGCAAGTTGCGCTGGATGGGTGGGCATCTCATCAATAAATGAATGTGTAAGCACCCTTCTCTGTCTCCTCAGTGTAGTCTACGAGTGGGACATTCTAAGCATTAATATCATGGTACCATGAAGTCAAAATGAAATGACTATTATCTACATAGCCAAAGCCTTGGACTTCCTAATACCATGCCAAGACGAGAAAACTGTGTATGTTTCAGCTCTAGTTATTGTGAAATTGTTCTCTGCAGCACTACTTTATAGTCGGATAAAAAAAAGGTATGTATAGCTCTTTAAATGCTGCCATCACCCAATCGTAATTTATCTATCATTTAAATATAATATCTACACTCAAAGAATGTTCACCAAGACTGTGACAAGTAAGACCTCATACTGCAATCAGACAAAGATGCCTTCATTGGTCAGACAATAGACAGGGGCAGCCGATAAAGGGATAGTTCACCCAAAAATGAAAATTGTTGTTCAAAACCCACAATACTTTAGTTAATCTGCAAAACACATATTTAAATAAAACCTGAGAGGTTTCTGTCCCTCCACTGTGTGTCCAGGTAACCAAAACTTCAAAGATCCAAAAATGTCTTAAAGGCGAATCCATATGAATCAAGCAGTTTAAACTGTTAAATTCATATGACATTTTATAATGACTTTTTGACCTTTTGTTTTGGTTACCTGGACTTTCAATGGAGGGACTTAAACCTGGACTTAAACAAAAGTCTTACAGATTTGGAACAATATCAGGGTGAGTAAATTATACATTTTTATCTGAATTTTCTTAAATGACCTTGACCTTGAACTATCCCTCCCATGTCGGATGTAAGCTTGACCATGAGTTTGGGAGTTTTTTGGATGATATTTTGTAAGTGTAAAATGTTGGTACAGGGTGTATATTTGATCCATACCATACTATAAACAGGACTGCTGGTCAATAGTATGGATCAAAGCCACTGACAGAGTTATCGCTTTTAATGGAGCTTCAGTAATGTTTTGATGAGAATTTAATAACCTTAAAATAAGGTTTAATTTGTTAACATTAGGTATCATAAACTAACAATGAATAATTTTTAAAGCATTCATCTTGGCTAACGTTCATTTAACATCTCTAACATCTCAAGATATATACAGTATGGATAAATTAAGATTAGTGAACAAACATAAATTAACAATGAATGACACATAATACATAAATTAACGTACAATAAATACTGTAGAAATGGTTGCTCATTTTTAGTTCATGATACCTAATGGATTAATGAATTCAACCTCAGGGTAAAGTATTACAGAGGATGCATTTGTGTAGACGTTAACACTAAGGTATGGGTCATCACAAATTTCCCCTTTAACGGTTAACCCAGAGCGAAAAAAAATAACTATACTTCCTATTGCTATCCTATACAAACGAACACTGATATTTAGTGGAAGATGGTGGCCTTTAGATTCAAATTTTCTGAAGAGGGTGAAGAAAGTGCTCTGGAAAGTCAAAGTAATGTGAAATGTTTGAAAGTTTCAACTATTTCTGAAAAGATACTGAATTATCTATAATTTTTTTCAATTCTTTTTTCATGCATCAATAATTTTAGAGACCTCATTCGTCCACTTGCACAACCTTAATTTTCAGAATTAAAATGTGACAAATGTCTTCTGTAGGTGATGACGGATTTGTTGGTTTTCCAGTTGTGTGATTATGAAATTATCTTATCTAAAGGCATAGACTCAGAATGAATTGGTAAATGCATTTTCAGCTTTAACCAAAATATATTACATTTCTATTATTTTTCTGCTGCCTTCATGAGACACATTCAATAGTAAAGAATCGTATTGCTAAGGCCGTAAGACTAGTGGCAGAGTAATTTAATTAAAATTACAAACTGATGGTAAATAAAAGACTGTGAGTCTGTGGAAATAATCAAACACAGCAATATGCACATTTAAATATCTTTGGTAGACAAACTTAAAATAAAAATTAAACCTAACTGGAACTAACTGGTACTCTCAAAATGTCAGGCCAAAAAGCCCTGAAAAGCTTTGAATCATATTTAGGGGTTGAAAATCCTAGAAAGGAACTTAGTGTTATGTAAACACATAGTTTAATGTACTGTAACTTGTGTGTCGCTTGTGTGCTTCATAAAACTAGAAACAGTATACAACAATATAATGATGGCACAGATGAAAACATCTACAGAGAGATCCTGATATGTGTGTCTCTGGTGGTAATTATCATGTGAACAAAAAGAAATGAAGCAATACAAATGACACTGATAAGCCAGCAGAAAAGTGTTTTGTTAACCTATAGAGCAACGTGATGGTTCAGAACCGCATTACAAATTCAGTAACCTTGGAATTCGCAAATTGCTTGACTGGCGTTGTGCCGGTTGCAAGCTGCAGGTCATACTATAAATCAGCTCCAATATACTGTGACTGACTAATTCTTCAGATCTGTTACTGATTGTGATGGACACTGCTTTAGCCAGTTCAGATTGTATGTTTAATTCAAAGCAATAGCAGACTGAAATGAATAAATGTTGTAGCTCAGAAGACAATCTGAATGGATAATGAATCACACTGTTATACAATAACTCGGCTGTGCCTGAACCAGTGATCTTCCTGCTCACTGTATAGCATCAGATTATTATTTTCTGTAAATTTCATCATTTTTATTGTTATTGTTTCATCCCATAAATGGTTTACCCTGTATTGTACCAAGAATACATTAAAGCAGTTTATTTTTATGTTTTGATTTGAATGAGTTTCACTGACAAGCCCATTAAAAAGAAAAAAAAAATCAACTAGAAATTATCTGTTTTTAGTACTTAAAAAAACTGGCATGAGACCATTTAATGTCCTTTCTCAACATTGTTACTGAACTATTTTTGAATAAGTTTAACCTACTGATGTGAAAGTGCCTGGTAAATGGCTTTTAACTAATATCTTAATGGATTTGAATAATCAATCTGAGTCTACAGATAGTAAGTAGAGTGATCACTGCAGAAATCATTGCAGTGCTAAGTCATTGCCACTAGTGGGCAGAAACACTCCTTTAATCAGAAATCTCCCAACAGATTTTCACATATGGCTCGTGTTCTGGCGAGGTGACTTCATATAAAGCAATTCATGTCAAAATATGTCAGAAAATATGTCAAAGATTACGTATTATCTATGTAAAGCCTCAAACTGTATAATTTTACCTCAGACGTTATAAGACATTGGATTTTTTTTGGAAGTTGGAAGTTTTTTTTGTTCAGAGATTAGACATTAAACAGACAATAAAAGTAAATAAAAGTCCAAAAGTAGAGGTGAGGGGGAAAGTAGGAGTAGAGTGAACACAACACTGTCAACACAAAATTATTCAGCCTTGGTTCAAACATGCTTTGGGAATGTCACAGTGTCATCTTGAATATAGAGTTTCAACAACTCCCTTTGCTCACAGCTCAGAGCAACACCGGTGCAACCGTCAGTGCTACAAAACAAATTAATTATATACTACATGCTATTATTCTAACTATGGGCTTTAATAATGAAAGAATATACATGCTTATTTTATTTAGGGTTTGGTTTTAAGCTGACATTTTCTTTTATTGTATAAGTACATAGCTGTAAAAAGACACCAGATATTTTATCACAGTTTGATAATGATGACAGAACTTGCTTATCATTTCTATCTTTAAGAATACATTATTATGATTATTTCAAATAAATTCTGTTTTTGAACTTTCTATTCATCAAAGAATGCTGAAAACTGTATTTCTGAATATTTCTATTTGTGTAACACTGAAGAGTGGAGTAATAGCTGAAAATCCAGCTTTGCCATCACAGGAATAATCACATTTCAAAATATATTAAAATAGACAACAGTTTTTTATTAGTGTACTGTAATCAAATAAATGCAGCCTTGGTGAGACTAAGAGACTTCTTTCAAAACTATTACAAATCTTACTGACCCCAAACTTGTGAATGGTGGTGTCTATAGACAGACTGAGCTAGTCTATGTCATAAAAAGGATTCAGGGGATCCTGGTGTGACCTGATGTTCACCTGCACTTCTAATGACTGTTATTGTCTTCTTACATCATTGACAAACTATTTTCCTGTTTGACTCTGTAAAGCTGCTTTGACACAACCAGTATTGTATAAAGCACTATACAAATAAAGGTGACTTGACTTAATACACATTGGATAAAAACTAGCAGGACCCCATCATGAGATGTCCATGTAGCCTCGTGGTTCTTGGAAAGGAACCCCATGTCCTCAGATGCCTCACTTTATATTCTGCATGAATGGAGCTCAGAGAAAAGCCATCAGCCAGACAAGCAGGTACACTTGAATAGGCAGTACATTTCAGGGTTATGCTGGGTTACTAGGACTAACAAACACCATGTATCCTACCAATTCCATCCACTTGGAAGCATATTAATGTGGTTCTACCCTGCTTACGTTAGTGGTACTGAGCTTGAAAAAAAACTTCATCATGGATCTCAGTAAGAGAGGGATGTTTAAGCTAAGAAAACAAACAAAAAAAAAGCTAGCGAGTCGGTTTTGGAAAATGCGATGTGCTTGTGTACCTATTTGTGGCCCTGCTATAATTAGCCTTCATGGCCACGCAAGCTGCAGACTGACTGGAAACTAGCAGAGACTTATGCCCCGGTGCACCACCCCAGGAGTCCAACAGCACAGAAAGAAAACACTGAGCTTAGAGCGCACCCCTGAGTGTCCAAGTAAAGACAAAAACGTATGAGGAATCTGCTGCTGGGATGCTGGCTGTGATGACAGAGGAGTCTTGCTGGTCTCCTTAACTTTCTAAGTTTGTGAAAACAAACTCTTTTGCGATTTCTTATTCACAGACTTTAGGATTATATGGATATAAGCAGCTGACTTTGAGTGAATGCATGTGTGGACACTTATAGACTAAGAAGATGAGTTCCAGAAGGCTGATGAACTATTCGCTCTCGTGTGATGGAAGGGGTTACTACGGTGGCAGTGATATCAGCTCTCAGAATAGAAGGGCTGGGTTAGGAGCTACCTGAGCAGTGTTCGATCTGAAAGCAGGTACAGGTTTCTGATTCCTGATGTAAAATACATTAAATGCATAACTGAAGGTAGCATTAAATGCTTAAACATCATGACTTTCTGTCCTAACAAAGCATACAGATGCATATTAAAGTTAAGGGCTGGCAATCAGAAGGTTTCTGGTTTGATCCCTGCAAGGAGTGAGTCATGAGCCATCACTATTGTGCCCTTGTATATAGCAACCCGGACTGTCCCTGTAATATGCAGATAAAAGCATCTGTTAAATGACTACTTTCTAAATATATATGTTTATAGTGATTGTTATAAATAATGCAATAGTGCTTAAACAACATCTAAATAGATAAGCCTACATAAACAGTAATGCATACTAAAAGCCATCATCTACCTCAGAGTATGAATGAATTCAACCTTACATGACGTTTAATTCTGAACAAACAAAATAAACAAAATGTTTACCTAAAATGCAGAGTGATTCAAGGATTCTGTTTCCTCACTGAGAGGCTTCACTGCCAATAGTTCAGAGCTCCACCACCTCAGAGTATGAATGAATTCAACCTTACATGACGTTTAATTCTGAACAAACAAAATAAACAAAAATGTTTACCTAAAATGCAGAGTGATTCAAGGATTCTGTTTCCTCACTGAGAGGCTTCACTGCTAATAGTTCAGAGCTCCACCACTGGTCTGTCTGACTCTTGAGAATCTTGTGTGAAGGTCATAATGTTATAAATAAGTCTGCACTGCCAGCCTCAATAAATGTCTTTTAATATTTACCAGTGCCCAACTTACTACAGCAGCAACGGTTTGCATTATATAACATATATTATAAGTTACTATGGAGATTTCACATTTTTGTTACATCTTTGGCAATTACAGAATTTCCAAATAGCCTATAAAGAACTTCATGTACTTTAATAAAATAGACCTGAGTGCTAGCGTTTCTGTGTGATTTTTGTCATCACTAAAGCAAACTTGTGCGCATGGCTTATAGATTCTTGTGCTTGCTTGATCTTTGCTTAGCTATACTGGCCATAGATTCTCTCAGTTCAAGCAATCCAGGTAAAAAGAACTAATCAACTTAACAGGTTGACATACTTACAGCCTTTCAGTAAAAGTATACACTAGCAGAAGCAGATGTGTACTTCAAATCCTAAAGTGCTAGATTTATTTTTTTGACCTGACAGTGTTTGTAATCTCAGCAGGGATGATGCATGGGTGTTTCTTCAATTTAAGGCACTTTTGTCTCTGTAGACTTTAAATAAAGTTCTCATACTAGTTTAATTTGTCCACTAACAATGATTAACAAATACATACATACACAGGAGAAATTAGTTTTGATTATTGATTTTTCATGAAAATGCTCACTAAATTTTAATTTACACCTTATCTTAAATGATTAATTGTTTAACAAAATAATGTAGTGAATATTATGATGCTGTAAATTTTACGTTAATTCACATAAATAATAAAAAATTACAGCTTGATCACAAATGTACAGTAAAAATATTTTGCTCATAAGTTATATTTATTTTAATTTTTATCACATTTAACATCACATTTAATTTGCTCCTCACTGACATATTTGTGTAGAATAAAATCTATAAAAATATTAGTAAGGCATTTCAACATGAATGACTGATGAAAATATGAAATGTTTGACTTCATATAACAAAAATAAAAGGGGACATAGAAATGGTGAAGTTGAAGAAACACCCAATTGTTTATTTTAATATTGTGTCTGACCTAGCTAATATAAACATTGTAAATCATATTTTGTATGAATACTAACAACAATGATGACAGTGATGTCAGTGCTCTGCTGAAGATAATGCAAATTATTAATACAAATTTAACCTCAGATGAATTATGATTTTTGCCTTCTTTTTAGGAGCAGTGTCATGGCCCAATTAACTGTGGAGATACAGCCAACATTTGAGACCACATTAAAATCCAAAGCTGTGTCTGAAGACACTGTGTGATCTCAGGTATCCCATCAAAGCAAGTGAATCCATTATGGAACATTATTAAAGTTGTCCAAACTTCCTGTTCACCAGTCTTTAATTTTAACGGTCACGTTTACAGGGTACCCAGTCCCTGAGGTGATATGGTACAAAGATGATATACAGCTGGACCGATACTGTGGCCTTCCCAAATATGAAATTTCACGTGATGACAAGACACACACACTCCAAATATACAAGTATGCTCTTTTCTGAGAAACATTTTTCCTTGTTTTGATTATTGTTTAGTGAACATTTAACTGTATGTATTTCTATCTTAGCTGTACTCTGGAGGATGCTGCAATTTACCAAGCATCAGCACAGAACAGTCGAGGAATCATGTCATGTTCAGGAGTGTTGGAGGTGGGAACAATTAGTGAGTACAAGAGTCATCAAAATTGCTTTGCAAAGCTTAAACAGCGAAACAAGAACCGCCGTCATGAACAGGAGGAGCCCCGCAATACAGGCAAAGAGAATGTCCCAGCAGCTCTCGAAAACAACAAGATGAGCAGTCCTGAAAGAGCCCAAAGGAAACGTAGGTCCCCCATGGAGACCAGAGGGGCTGTCAGCCCTTCAGAGGTGAAAGCCATGGAGGTGGATGCTCTCAGTCAAACACCTCCAGTTCAAGTGTCAGCAGCAGCATCTGTTCATGGAATCTCCAGCTCTGAAATTATCACAAACAGAGACAAAGACGGCCAGGGACTAACATATATCCATGATACTGTGCAGAATGCCTCCAGCAAACAGACTACTGAGCATTACATCAAGAAGAAGATCAAAATCCCAACCGATGCAACCGAGAGAATTAAGAAAAACAGACTGCCTGGAAGAAGGGAAGAGACGATGAATGAGAGTGGGGCTTCCATTGAGAAGATGGAAGTACAGAACACGGTCGCTCAGATCACCTCTGTGACTGAAGATGGAAACAAAATGGACACAACAGAAACAAACAAAAAAAAAAAAAAAAAAAAAAAAAAAAAAAAAAAAAAAAAAAAAGTGAAACTCTCAGTGAAAGCAAACAAAAGTGGCTCAAAAGAATCAAGGAGAGCTCATGGTGCTCAGATTGCCTCAGTGTATGAATCTAGAAACAAAATGGACATAACAGACACAAGAAAAAGTGAAAAACATCAGTAAACATGAACAAAAGTCCTTCAATATAATCAAAAAGAGCTCAGGGTGCTCAGATCACTTCAGCAACAGAATCTAGAAACAAAATGGATATAACAGACACAAAAATAAATGAAAAACAGTCAGTGAAAGCAAACAAAAGTCCCACAGAAGAATCAAAGAGAGCTCAGGGTGCTCATATTGCCTCGGCGACTGAATCAAGAAACAAAATGGACATAGTCACAAAAACGAATGAAAAACAGTCAGAAAGCAAAGGAAAGTTCCTCAGAATCAAAGAGAGTTCAAAAGCCTATTACAACGGAGAAATCACTGCCATTGAAGGTTTCCATGACAATCCAGACACTCAAAAAAAATTATATGTTGGCCTTACTTAACTTTATGTCAACAGGTTCCACGTAACGGAGTTAGGTTGCATTTAAGTATGAATATTGATTTTAATGAACTTAAGTTAATTACATAAAGTTAATACAATGTTGTTTAGTTGAATCAACTTAACATTCTTGACTTCGTTTTAATCTGTTAAGTTAATCAAGTTCAATTATTCTAAAATTAATATGGTCACATTCAATCAAAACAAATACAGTTTCATTGAGTTTATTCAATAAATACATTCAACTTTTTTTTTTTTACAACTTTTAGAAATTTTTCCAAGAATAATAATTTGTACAAAATCTAAAGACTGCCTTCACTTTTTTAAAATCGGTAATCTTATCTTATTACAAGAAAAGTGTAAAAAAAAAAAAGCATACTAATAAAAAATAAAAGCATGGATTTTAGGTAGGATTTACAAAATAGTCTTCTTTTGTAATGAAAATGCATCAATTATTCAAAGCAAGACCAACGTTGAAAGGAATGTAACATGTTCAGTACCGAAAAACAAATGTACTGCAACAGCCAACAGTACAACATTATTCGTAAAGGTCTGTAGCATCTGTATGACGACATAGATTCCCAGCGTGGTGTTGTGCGTCGAGGTTAGGGCTTCAACATGTTCAACATCCTAAAAATGTAAAAAAGAAACAATTACCAACAGATCAAGGGTCAAAGAAGTTGGTTTTGGAGAAACATACACTAGGTTTTAATGAAAAAGGTAAATAACCTACCATGTACTCCTTCACAAGGTTTGAGGGGTCTTCCTTCAGGCAGACAGCCAGGGCTTTCAGGATGCATTCACATTTTTTGCCAATGGAGACATTCTGAATATGTAAAATGAACAGCATTAGTTAGCACTTGACTTTTTAGACTTGTTACTGTACATCTAACATTTTAAGTAGTATTATACAGATCATCCCACTGTGTTGTTTCTACAAAACTTTCAATCCTGGGAACCAGTACAAGAAAACCCAACAAATGTTCCTAAATCAGAAACTTTGCTATGGGAAAGATACACAGTAATCTTGGATGTCAGAGTTGTTCCAATTGTAGGTGCAAAAACACAACTCTGCTGCTGAGAAATTTGATAAAGCTACAAACAAGCCCTGAAATTAAAACAGTATGAATTATGCACATATGAACATTTTAGCTTATGCTGTATATACTCCAGGCTTTAAAGGGATAATTCACCAAAATAAAATCATTATCAGTTGTTTTATCTTTTAGACTCCCTTACATAAAATGCTAAATTTGGTCAGTTTGTCTTGCTCATTTCTGATGATAAAATGACAGTCAAGGGTGAGTTTCTCTTCTGAAGCTTCAAAAGCATCAAACAATTACATGTTACATTTGAAGATTCAGAACAGGAATTCACCATTGACTTTTATTGTGTACACAAAAAAAAGCGCAGGACAAATTGGCCAAAATGCATAATTTTAGTTCAGGCAACAACAACAACAAAAAAAAAGATGTAAGAGGTTCAACGACATGAGGCTGAGTAAATGATGACCGAATTTTCATCTTTGGGTGAAATATTATTTTAACCTATTATGAATTATTGTCAGATTTAAAATGACAGTGAATTTAGATAACATACCTGAGCCATAACTGACAGGATGTATGTGATCTTCTGTGCGGCTGCTGCTCCTTTCTTTGGTTTGAGAAATTATCAAGCAGTCCCATATATTTGGAGACCAAAGGGATTGTTGTAATCCAACTGAATTTCACAGATACCTAATACAGTTTTAAAAGGACAAATCAGGTTGGCTGCTGATAAATTTGGGACAAACCTTAAAATAATATTATACACCAACAATCATAGTATTCCTTTACCAGCACTTACAGATTACATACAAAATTATTACAAATTAACACATATCTGAATTACATCTAAACTTCAATACATAATTTAGAATTACAAAAATATCTAAGTAATTCATCACAGCTGACATTACAAAGACTCAACGTTACCTCTTGCTCTGTAAAGAGTGCTGGATTTGATCTGGATGTGTGAGAGGAACCACAATCTCTGCACAGCCACATGTAGGACTATAAAACTCTGTGAGGTTGGAAAAAAAGGTGTGGGTCACCTAACAACAATAATAATAATAATAATAATAATAATAATAATAATACTAACAAACAAGCTTATTTAAGTGTCTTCATGAAAATCCCATACAAAACATGAGATTATGCGCGATTAACCATTCTAATAAAATGACAGCCTCAATATATATGCATAAAAAGTAAAATATCTCACCTGTGTTTCCACATAAAGAAAACATTCCTCGTTTGGCACTGTGATCTTCGTCTGATTCAAAAATGGCGCCGATCGCTGAAGAATGATCTTTGAATGTACTGTCCATCTGCGGTACTGCAGAAGCAACTCAACTCCATTTCATTCACTTTACTTAAGTGAACTGTGTAAATTTGAAATATGACTTTTTCTAATTTGGTCAACACAACTCTTTTAATTTTAATACACAAACGTAAGGGAATTATTTAATTTAAACATAGTTACATTATTTGGACCAACAGCAGCCACATTTCATTTTTTTTGAGTGCAGACAAGGTGGTTGAAAGCACAAAGCTAACTGAATCATCTGACAAAGGGACATCAAACATCCAACTTCAAGCTCTAGATACTATCCAGAACTGTAATCCAAGACTTATAGACAACAAGCTCATGGATTTTGATGACCATGGAAATAAAACTCCAGTAGGTACATGTGTGAGGATCTTTCCTCATTCCTGTGGTGGGAATGACGTCAATGTGGACACAAGGGTGAGGAATGCATCTGCATGCTCTCTTAGAAGCTTGGTGAGTGTTTCCTCATGCTTTGGCCATGATGTCATGTGAGCGTAATGTTCCCAGTGGTAGTGAGACCAGTACCCCCCCCTCAGTCACAATCATAAACTATAAATAGAGCGGCAAGGATGACTTTGATGATGTGACAAGACCCATCTTATATGACACAGAAGTAGGGTAACAGACAATGATAATATTCCCATTACGGACATTGTGGCTCCAGAGCACATGGAAGTATAGAGATCCTAAGATCCATCAAATGTGTTTGCTGTCCCTAATCACCTGTTGCTATGACGTTTTAAAAGTAGATACAAAATATAACTTTACTGTGTAAGCTGTAAGTTCTGTGGACAGACCAGCTGCTCTCCTTTTAATATCTCACATTCCCCTCTGATCTCATAAAACCTCAAAATACTCTCTAAATATGGGCAGTGCAACAGCTTCCCCAAGGCAATAGATGCTAAATAAGAAACAAAGATAGACCTAGTCAACTGAAAACAGGTGGCTTCTTATTCTAACTTGTAATCATATAATTCGTGAATTCACATTATTTAATATGGGGTCTGTCAAATAAAGTAATGTTGAATCCACTTATTTTCTCTTATCCTAGCGAAATGAGAGATAATCAAGTGATAATATTAACCGAGGTTCAGCTAACACAATGATCTTTGATTTTAGATTAATGACTGAGGTGCTAAGTGGCAGAATCTTCCTGCAGATTTACAGTGTTTAGGGATTTGGCATTAGTACAGTCCAGCTGAACCAGTATGTCTATAATAATATGTCTATAATTCCATGATTTTAGGCTGCAGGTGATACTCAAACTCAACCCACAGAGCCACCAATTTGTGGAGACATTCCTCCTTTTCAGAAGGAAGCGTCCATGGATTTAAAGCAGCAACCCTCATTGATGCATGAGGTCACTGCGAGTGTTACGGAAGCACTCAGTTCCTGCCACCTTGCATCACAGGGAAAGAAGCTGAGAACAGGTGATCAGTCTGTCGCATCAACAAAGAGCAGTACACTTGTCACTGAGCCGCCAAACACTCAACCGAGTGAGAAAATCTCCTCAGGTCATGTTTCACAGATGTTTCAAGGCGGCAGGGTTACAACAGCTGTGAGTTCCTCATTGGGAGATGACACATTAGATAACATGTTTGAGAAGGACAGCAAAGCTGAAAATCAACTAATCAAAGAGTCTGACAAACTCAAAGGTGAAACAAAACTTGCATCCACGGCTTTGAATAGTATGGAAGAAAATGAGATAAAAATCATCAACACAATTGTGCACGTATAGAACAGTATTTCTAAAGAAAAGTCAAAGGCAAATTCAAACCATTCCACAAATCAAGTCATTGTCACAGAACCTGAAATTCACATGACAAATTCACATGTGGTGCAACCACAGACCATGAATGACTCCTCAATCTCTAATGTTCAAATTAAAGATAATAAGGCCCAGGAGTGTCAGAACGCCTCTTTTGTAGCTACAGTCAATGTTGCTAAAATGGACATACAGGAACAATCTAATGTAACCATATCTGAACTACCCAAATCAACTTATCACAAGATGCAAAGTTACTCTAAAAAAATGCAATGTTCATTCTGGCCCCTCAACATTACTCTCCCAATATTCAAAAGTTTTACCCACAGAATTTACCATTCCTGCAATATATATTACAGATGTGGACAGCACATCTCACAATAGTGCAGAAACAGAACACACTGTAGATGCTGTTGAAATCAGAACTGAAACGAATGCAGTAACCTCTATTTTGACAAACAGCAACACTGTCAGTCAAATAGGTAATATATCTGATTGCACAGACACCACGAACAAAACCACAGCTGTTTTGGAATCTGAAGGTCTGTGTGATGAAAAGTTTGACCTTTCCCTGCATTCACAACCCTCTGAAGTCAACAAGCCTGATCAACAGCCACTAAGTCAAGAAAACCTGATTCAAGGACCTGAATCATCAAGTCATTGTGTCACTGAGAATGTTGCATCAGACGTAATTAGATTAAAAAAGGTCACTATGCAACATCACAATGCTGACAAAAGTATAAAGAAAAATGAAGCTGACTTAACTGAAATTAGTCATCTTACAAAAACAGATCTTAATCTGAAAACATCAAAACAATTGAAGTTGGCTGCATTGAACCTTGAGAGGTCAAATCAAAGCTCCACCAAAGCCAAGATAAATGCTGCACCACATATAAATGTGAATGACTGTGAGGAAGTAAATTCTGCAGTGATACATCACGCTACCTAAGGTAACAGTTCCACCGAAGACTACAGACCAGGTCTTCAACTCCACTGCTGCCCACAGTGAGCTTGCCACAAGGACCGATCAAAAGAATACATTCCCCATGACTAAAATAGAGAAGAGTGAAACTGGAATTGCTGCATGTCTGGAAGAAGCAAACAGAGATTCACTTCAGGGGGACAAATTATCTTTGAAAACACAACCTGCATCTCCATTACAATCAGTCAGTAACTCACCATTGAAGACATCATTGGAAACACACTCCCCTCATCTTACCCGGAGGATTGTCCAGGCTGATCTCCCCAAACCTACAGGGAATGAGAATGTTAAGCCCAAATCAACAGAGAAAAACTAAGAAAACCAATTCAAAGGTAAAGACAGCAAGGAATTGACACTGAGCACACAATTATAGCAGTTATTTTCAGTTAATAACATAGACTAGTGGTTTACAATTGACAGAAAAGCGGTGTGCTTGATCTGTTACGCCCCGTCTAGGGGTAGAGCGCAACATGAAAATTTTTTTTTTTTTTAAAAACAAGCGTGACCAATCAACTTCTTTTTGTTAATATTTATCTGGGAGTTCACTTTCAGGAGCCGACAGTGCTAAAATAATAAACAAAACGTTCTTAATATTAAACCCTCTAAATTACCTATCCGAAGTAAAGAAACTAAAATAAAATACAATTCTCTAACCGAACTACCTAATCCAAAAACACAGATCCAAACGTTACAAAAACAAAAGATGGCGTCTGACTCCTTACTTTCCCAATAACTATGTACAATATTCACAATAAATATTTACAAAGAAACATCAAGTTCAGAGGGAGAATCCAGAATCAAAATCGTACAACAGGCAAGGGTCGGGTAAACCAGATTACCGTTACACAAACAATGAATATCCAGACAATCTCTCTAAGCATACAAATGGGGGTAAAACAGCACAAGCACTGCACCAACAAACAGCATGGTTCACAAAATGCCCCCCCTGAAGGAAATGCTGTCATCTCTTTTAAGGGAGAGAAGACCAATCAGAGGACGACATCAATGAGTCTGCAGGAACCAATCAGCAGCAACCTGGGCAGACACACACAAACCAGCAGAACAAAACACAACAAAACTATAGGGTCGTAACACCCCCACACATAAGAGTAAACATGGTTTACATAGTTTACAATTAACACCTAGACAGAGAATCTGCTATCACGTTGTCAGCACCCTTCTTGTAATTAATTTGCAGATTAAAGCTCTGACAGACAAGTGACCAACGCACGAGTCTCTGGTTTTGGTTACACATTCTTTGGAGGAAAACGAGAGGATTATGGTCAGTGTATACAGCAATGGGTTGTGGACTAGAACCAATATATACTTCAAAATGTTGTAGAGCCAATAAAAGAGCTAGGGCTTCCTTTTCAATAGTACTATAGTTTACTTGATGACGGTTAAACTTTTTAGAGTAGTAACATACGGGATGGTCGACTCCTTGGTCATCTTGTAATAGGACCGCACCCGCACCGTTTCCACTTCAAGTTTGAAGGGTTGACTGAAGTCAGGAGCAGCTAGAACAGGAGAACTACATAACAGACTCTTCAAAGAGACAAATGCACACTGACAGTTATCATTCCACTTGAAATTGACATCTTTGCGAAGGATATCTGTGAGGGGTTTCACAACAACAGAGAAATTCTTACAGAAGCTCTGGTAGTAACCGGCCATCCCAAGAAATCGTCCAAGATCTCTTTTTGATTTAGGCAAAGGAAAATCAACAATGGCTTGCACCTTGGCTTCCACAGGGCGAACAGTACCATGACCAACTTCTTTGCCTAAGTAAGTGATGGTTGCATGACAAAACTCACATTTTGCTAGATTAAGTGTTAGATTAGCATCTCAAAATCTGGTAAACACTTCTTCTAGAGTTTTCAAATGATCATTCCAAGTATTCGAGTAGCAGACCACATCATCCAAGTATGCTTCACAGTTCTGTACATTAGCCAAGATGCGATTCATTAGCCGTTGAAAGGTTGCTGGTGCGTTTCTGAGCCCAAAAGCTAAGATCTTATATTGAAGGAAAGCATCTGGGGTAGCAAATGCTGAAATCTCCGAAGCATGCTCAGTCAGCGGCACCTGCCAATAACCCTTAAGTAGATCTAGCTTGGTTACGAACTTAGCGCTGCCAATTCGATCAATGCAATCATCCATCCTGGGAAGAGGGTAGGAATCTGCCTTGGTTAGTTGATTAACCTTTCGGTAATCAGTACAAAAACGTGAGGTTCCATCAGCTTTTGGGACCAACACACACGGAGAACACCAAGGACTAGAACTGGGTACCGCCAAATCATTTTCAACCAAATACTGAGTTTCTTTCTTCATGATTTCACGTCTCACAGGGTTTACACGGTAAGCATTCTGTTTAACAGGTCGATGGTCACCAACATCAATATCATGCATTAGCACATGAGTCACTGTAGGTACATCTGAGAAAAGCGATGAATACTTATCAACTGTACAATTTCACTTTGAGCTGATCTAGATAAATGAGAAAACTTAGAACTGAGAGTTACTAAAGCTTCAGAATTTTGAAGACGTGCACCAGAAAGACATGCACTTCCCAACCGAAGATCATCCATACTGGGAGAATAATCAGAGGGAGCTGCATTTACAGAGGCCACTACAACGGGAGTCACAGAAGTTACAGGAACACTGATAAGAGTTTTTAGCATGAGAACGAGAAATATACAGCTTGAGCATGTTTATGTGACAAACACGAGTCTTTCTTTTCCGCTCCTGGGTCTGTACTACATAATCAGTATCACTCAACTTTGCTTCAATCACATATGGCCCGGTGAACTTCGCTTGTAGTGCAGAGCCAGGGATAATTCAGCCGGAGCGAAACCAAGGGATTCCTGAGTGGTGTTGCGAACAGCGAACAACAGAAGAGGAATCTGCTCATCCCAATCTTTCTCATGTTGGAGACAGTAGGTTCTGATCATAGTCTTAAGAGTTTGGTGAAATCTTTCGAGGACACCCTGCGACTGTGGATGGTAAGCACTAGATGTACAGTGTTTAATACTCAACTCTTTCATTACCTTACGGAAAAGTCTTGACATAAAGTTGGATCCTTGATCGGATTGGATGAATTTCGGAAGACCAAATGTTGTACAGAACTTCACTATGGCTTTCACCATGGTCTTTAGTGAACGTAGAGGAATGGCTTCAGGGAACCTAGTAGCAGAACACATCAGCGTTAACAGATATGAGTGACCAGATTTAGTTCTTGGCAAAGGACCGACACAATCAATAACTAGTTTCTCAAATGGTTCACTCATTACAGGAATGGGTTTCAAGGGAGCTGGAGAAATAACCTGATTTGGTTTTCCAGCAACCTGACACTCATGACACGATCGACAATGCTGGGTAATGGCAGACTTCATTCCGGGCCAGAAGAAATTTTTAAGAAGATTATGGTAGGTCTTCTTAATACCCAAATGTCCGGACAGCTCATGGTCATGCCCCACACTCAGTACATGTTCTCGATATGACTTAGAACAAGTTCGTACGCTCTTAATACAGCCGCTTTAACCGAATCATAATTCATACTTTGTTCAAGTGTCAACTCCGAACATACCTCTTGCGCCTTCCCAACAAGTTTACACTGCAACAATAAAGGCCAAATATTTCTCTGCCACTTTAACGTGGCTGCAATGCGCTCAAACACAGTGAAATATGTGTCAACTTCACTTTCTCTAAACGTAGGGACTAATGAAATTTGTTTACTAATATTAACATCAGCGTCAGGACTTACCGTAGACACAGGCAACGTTGCAGGGTGAGGAGTAGAAGTGATTACCGGCGTCTGCACAGGAGTATTTCCCCGTAACACTGGAGATTGAAACTGCTTAGCCTGCCCAAACTTTAATTCAAGCTCCAGCTCTTTCAACCGCACGTCTCGCTGTGTCTCAAGCTCCACCGCTCGGACATGCAACAGCTGACTTTGGTATTGGCTTCGGCTTAGCTCCACTTCCAGTTCTTTCAACAAACCAGGACTTCAAGGTATCATCAGTATTTTGTGCCTCCATCAACTGTCTCTTGTCAAATGGGAAATCGAACTTAGGTTCCAGCTTCAAATTTTGTATAGGCCTACAAGCTTCCACATTTGTGTCTTCAGTGTCACCAACATTTGAATTTCATGAATGAATCCGAGAGATCAATCTCACTGTCGAATTTACGAGTCTGTGCACGAGTAACAACACATGAGTGAAATACGCTGGGAAATTTTTTAATTAACACATCATCCTGAGATACACTAGGGACGTCAGTAACTTCAGGAAGACAAACAACTTTACTTCCAGCCAAATCAGACTTGGATGCATTCTGAGCCTTCCTCTGACTTTTCCTCTGTAATGCAGGACAAGTAGCAATCAAATGTCCCCTTTCGTGACAATAAAAACATTCTCGCACCGTCAATGATAAATCAGTTGTGTGATTATCTGGGGATACAGCATCTGCACTCTTAGAACTATAGTTGCGATTCACAACAGTGCGACGTGACAAACGTGGGGACTGAAAAGCAACCTTGTGTGTGAGCACAAATTCATCTGCAAAAACAGCAGCTTCAGTTAAGGATGACACTTTTTGTTCGTTGAGACGAATTACCACCTTTTCTGAAATGCAGTTTTTGAACTCTTCCATCAAAATTAGTTCCTTTACCTGCTCAAAAGTAGTGACTTTGCTCACTACACACCATTTCTCAAACAATGTAGTCTTCTCACGTGCAAACTCCACAAATGGTTGACTGGGGTTTTTCCAAATGAGCCCTAAATTTTTGACGGTACGCTTCCGGAACAAGTTCGTACGCTCTTAATACAGCCGCTTTAACCGAATCATAATTCATACTTTGTTCAAGTGTCAACTCCGAACATACCTCTTGCGCCTTCCCAACAAGTTTACACTGCAACAATAAAGGCCAAATATTTCTCGGCCACTTTAACGTGGCTGCAATGCGCTCGAACACAGTGAAATATATGTCAACTTCACTTTCTCTAAACGTAGGGACTAATGAAATTTGTTTACTAATATTAACATCAGCGTCAGGACTTACCGTAGACACAGGCAACGTTGCAGGGTGAGGAGTAGAAGTGATTACCGGCGTCTGCACAGGAGTATTTCCCCGTAACACTGGAGATTGAAACTGCTTAGCCTGCCCAAACTTTAATTCGAGCTCCAGCTCTTTCAACCGGATGTCTCGCTGTGTCTCAAGCTCCACCGCTCGGACATGCAACAGCTGACTTTGGTATTAGCTTCGGCTTAGCTCCACTTCCAGTTCTTTCAACTGGATGGCCAGTAAGGGGTTTTTTTACTAATATTAACATCAGCGTCAGGACTTACCGTAGACACAGGCAATGTTGCAGGGTGAGGAGTAGAAGTGATTACCGGCGTCTGCACAGGAGTATTTCCCCGTAACACTGGAGATTGAAACTACGGTGCCAAAATAATAAACAAAACGTTCTTAATATTAAACCCTCTAAATTACCTATCCGAAGTAAAGAAACTAAAATAAAATACAATTCTCTAACCTAACTACCTAATTCAAAAACACAGATCCAAACATTACAAAAACAAAAGATGGCGTCTGACTCCTTACTTTCCCAATAACTATGTACAATATTCACAATAAATATTTACAAAGAAACATCAAGTTCAGAGGGAGAATCCAGAATCAAAATCATACAACAGGTAAGGGTCGGGTAAGCCAGATTACCGTTGCACAAACAATGAATATCCAGACAATCTCTCTAAGCATACAAATGGGGGTAAAACAGCACAAGCACTGCACCAACAAACAGCATGGTTCATAAAATGGCCACCGCCACCACCACACCCCCCCTTGAAGGAAATGATGTCATCTCTTTTAAGGGAGAGAAGACCAATCAGAGGACGACATCAATGAGTCTGCAGGAACCAATCAGCAGCAACCTGGACAGACGCACACAAACCAGCAGAGCAAAACACACCAAAACTATAGGGTCGTAACAGATCATAGAACAATAACATGTGTAACATCAATTAGCATTCATACATTAGGACACTTTTATTGCGTTTTATGCATTACCTAGGAATCAAACTCATGGCCTTGGTGATGCTAGTACCCTTTGCCTTTGGAAACTGTGTACTCTTTGTTTGCCCTCTTTATCCCCTTTTCTCTCTCTCCCTCCCTT